TGGCCTAAGAGCCACAGCCCTGTCAAAACAATATGCTCGCAAAACATCGCACTTTTTCACTCAGGGTTGGATAAAAGCTCATAACTATTAACAGAATACATCATTAGCTTACCAAGAAGCCTCTCGAAAGTGCCTCCACCTTTACCCATGTTGAATTCCGATTCAAGGAATGTCCTACGAGGTGCTTATGCTGGTCAGCGGATCCTGATATTTTCACCGCTGATGTGAGCCTGTTAGCTTAGCCGAGGAGTACAGCTGTGTTTTAGTAATAACACTTCCTGCTTCGCACGCCGTCAGAAAAGTAGTGTGTCTCCCCCTAGCGATGAAACATTGAATTACAAGAGAAGAACTTGTGCATCTTATTGATTGTTGATAAATTATAAATAGTATAATCTAATCAATTAACAACTATGTACAATCTTAACCGTTTTTTTGTTTGTTTATGTCTGTAATGGATAGTGAGCTATTTTAAATAAATTGCCCAAATAATTTATTTTTCTAAACTATTTAAAGTAAGTTATTGAAAGTTAATTTTCTGAATTAAGAATGTTGCAGATTGTTTATGGATATTTGTCTGTTTTTATTAGCATTGTTTGTGGATTTATATTTTGTTTTATTCAATTGTATTTGCACTTGGTGATGTTTAATGAGTTCTTTGTATCTCACAGGCTGCCGTAGCTAATGAGGTTAGACCCTATGAAAGTTGATAGAATCATTGAACCAATGAATAACTTGAACTTTCAAGATGTTTGTCACCAAAAAATCAATACTTATTGTTCCCCAGTGAAAGCTGTGATTAGGATCTTCATAAAATCAAACACTAAATTCACCCCTTTAGACTGGCTGAGTAATTCAAGTGCTGGGGAGCTGCTACAATGTCTAATGCTTTTTCATTTTAATCAATGTATTAATTTGACTTTTATCTATCAATATTATTTATTTGTAATTTTTTTCCAATGACAAAATTCAGGCACACTGAATCTCGGCTGCTTAATCCAAACATTGGGTCAAAAGGCCTGTTTCTTATGTTAGAGAACAAATGTTAGGAAGCGTCATGAGTTTTCAAAGGATCCCATTTTGAAAAACCTGATCAGACCTCACTGCCCTGGCCCTCGTTCTTCCTTCCTCTCTTCTATTTTTAAAGCTTCTGGGTCCTGCACTAATGAGATTAATGAACAAGGGTTCCAAACTGGTCAGAGAATGGTTTTACCCCAATATAAACATTTAAAATTTCTTGTTTGTTTTTTTAAGTGAAAAAGGAAACTTATCACCATACAATAAATACTTAAACAAACCACAGAGCTATTGTTAATCTCCCATGTAACCATCCTTTTAAGTTGCTGCAGTTTTTGATTGCTCTTCTTTGCGCTTTTAATAAATTAGCATTAACACATATTTGTTAGAATAAAAAATATATACCTGTTAAGATTTTACCATATTGTTGATAACTGCAATTACAATAATGTTTGCTCTTACCTTTTAAACTAAAAGCCTGTTTGAGTTTTAAACTACATTCAGTAAAGGAGAGAACAAGAAACACTAACTGGTTTAAGTTGTCAACATTTTTTTCTTTATGAGTAATTTAAAACCCTAAGTAAGTGTAATTTCTCCAGACTTCCTGTAGGATAACATGTCTCTGTATAATAAGGGAGCAGTGGGAACCTGAAACACCATTGCTGGGTGTGGTTACAGGTATAACAACAACAAAAAAACTGTTCATTTATGTGTTTAGGCAGAGACACCAAAGTTAACCAAGTTCCTTTTTTCAATTAGAAACTATAATTCAACAGCTTCAATTTAGCAGAAAAAAGAATTAGGACATTCTTATTTAATATTATCTTAAAGGCAAATGTTTTCTTATGAGCAAAGTTGAAAACTGCATGAATTCTATATAGAAATCAAATTATTTCAGACCTAAGAAATGTAATTATTTCAGAAAAAAGTGTTTTTAATGTTAAAGCTGTAACTTGTTTAAGTAATTCCTGTTTTTACGCAGCTTTTTCCCTTGAAACTTACTTAAGCAAACCAAATACTATTGTACTACACATGTTATTGTAGTAATTTCTCAAAGTATTTATTTCCCTTTGAACAGTTTTCTTTTCCTTGTGTTGCAAATAAATAGTACAACATATTTATTTAGATTTTACATAAATGACCAACATTATATAGAGCACAGTTAGGAAATGACGGTTTTTAGGTAACTCTACCTTAACCCTAATTTGGTTTTAGTGGAATGTAGTTTGTGTTGATGCATCACCTAAACCTGAAAAAAAGATTTATATAATTTTATGGATTTGATGTTAAAGGAAAGAGTTCCAGAGGTATGAACACCATTTCAAAGTTCTGTGATATAACAGGTTTACAACATAATTACATTAGCTATCAGATTATGGGTGGCCATAGTAAAGAATTGTGTCATCCTGAAGACCTTAGATAAGATTAGATTCCTTTAATTAACCGGGTAAATGGAACTCATTGAGATTAAAAACCTCTTTTCCAAGAGTGACCTAGCAAAGGCGGCAACTTTATGGTTACATGGTTTGCTATCACAAACAGCAAACCTATCAGTTTATAAACTGCAGTCATAACATTCAAACTTGGTGTTTACTCTGTCATCTATAAAATATTGGAATTCCCTCAATCATAAATCTGTTGTCAATTTCAAGTCCTTCCATAAATCATTGCAGGTCGCTGGGGCACAGAATCTAAAAGCCTTTTTTCCAAGTTCAGTCCTGACTATGAGCAAAGTCCATATCGATTAATGTTTCTACATATATGTTCACAGAGATATGTAAGTACAAGTCCAAGAATAGATCTATAGATAAAAGTCAGCCAGTGGGAGGGCCTATGAGCATACAGGGATGGACAATCTGCACTTTCATATGCAGTAAGAAGCAATGATGTACACTGTAGATGCAACCAGGGACAAAAAGAAATTAACAGTAATTAACAGTATCCAGCTTCTTTAAAAACTGACTTGAAGCATGCATGAAAAGGCAAGTCAATTAGAGGTTACCACATGTTTGCTAACTTGCAAAGAAAACATTATTTATTTCTCATCAATTAAGATGCCTAGATATTTATAAGAAGTGAATTTCAACCCCATGCACTGTTGACAACCTGGGAGGGTTAGAAGAAAGCTGTTTACCGTTAGAAGAAAACATGGACTTTGATTAATCTGCATTTAGCACTAACTTGGGGATTGGCTGCTATAGTGGTTAGGGCATTTTTTTGGATCTCAGAGGTTCTGAGTTCAAGCCCCACTCCTACGGACTGCCATTCTGAGTCCCCGAGCAAGACCCCCCACACTGCTCCACGGGCGCTGCTCAATGGTAGCCCACTGCTCAACAAGGGGATGGGTTAAATGCAGAGAGTTAATTTCATTGCTTTGTACTTGTGACAGTGTAATAGACTTGAATTCTATTCTAACTTAAGCTGAATTAAATGTGACTAAACAGTCAAAAGCTGACTGGAACAGCTTCAGTTGTTTTGAAGCTGAGAAACAGGAACCATATAGAACTGTATCATCGGCATAGGAGTGAAACATAGCATTAGATTAATTGTCACAGAGATCATTCACATAAATTGTAAACGACAATGGCCCTAGTATGGATCCCTAAGGCTGGACATACTGAGTTCTACCCGACAGGTTATTAGAAAACCAGTTAACTGCTTGTTCATAGAGACTAATTTGTGGAGTTTATCTAGCAGAATTTCATGATTGCTTGTGTGAAAGTCTTTAAAAAGCACTGCACAGCATTCACAACAATCTAGAGCCTCTATGATATCATTAACCTCTTCAAGAGCAGCAGTATTGTACTATATTTTATGAAAACTGGACTGATTTTGGGGAAGAACATCATGAGCATCTAAAAATCAAATACAATTATTCTTTAACTTTTCTAAAACTAGAGAGAACACACAACTTAAACATTGGTCTATAGTTATTAATAACCGTCTTTAAGCAAGTAAAGAACATACACTGACTTCCATATTCTCAGAGTTTTCTTTCACAAACTGGAGCCTTAAAAAAGGTTTAATCCTTGTCAGTGAGGTATTTTTTCTGAAGGTAGTTGGTATCTTCTCAGTGTGAAGAATTGGACTTTTATCAAAACTTATAGTAATTTTAACCCTTGCCCCAATGGTTAATGTATACATAGTGCGCTTTTTCTACCCTGCCACTTTGCAGTTAGACTTTGAGCTAGTGCTGACTTACAGTATTCACAGTATAACTCCACCTTCTGTGGTGCAGGCGTACTTAGGTCATGTATGAGTCACCACCTGGCACTCAGAACACTGTCCCCCCTTGTTACAGTGACAGAATAATGCTTCTATAATGTGGCATTGTGTTGCTTGGTCCTCTGCTGTTACGAAGAGAAAGGAGATTATCTGATAGCGTGGTGACATCACAGCAGTTTATAAAGATAAAATGTCCAGAAATTAAAAAAATAAAAAGGTTGTAATTTGATTTGCAGGCACTACCTCATGGTGACTCAGGAGAAGCGTTTATTTTAACTGTTACATCTCATCAATAAAGAGATTTACACTGAGATTCACATATTATTGAAAAATAAGGACACAATACAAAATAAAGCTCTTTGTGGATCAATGATCTTTGTTCTTGATTTTTTTAATCAGTGGAAATATAAGTTTAGAACATGATTATTTCAACTTTTTTATAATTAAAATATAAAACTTTAGTATAATAACTCATAGTACTAACTTTAATCTTTTTTTTTTCTTGCACTGCAAATAATGTATTTTGTCCGTGCCACCATGTGGTTAAGACAGTAAAGGGGAGATGGAAGATAGGACAACACACAGACGCTATTCTCAACATTAAGGACTCTCAAACAAATGTACAAACACCCTCATTGTTCTATTGTTTCTTCTCCAAAACTGTTTATGCAGCAACACCAAAGACGTATTTCCTTGAAGGAATATTGCAGTTAAAACAGTTCTACTGTAAATCATGCTTATGAAAAACATACACCGCAAAGGATTTTTGAAAGATTTTATATTTGTAAAAATGTACACACACAAGTTTCCTCATTAGAGGATACAACTTTTATTGTATTTGGATGACAGACAGAAAAAAGTTATTTAAAAAAAAAAATTGAAATCATCGGGGGGAAAAAATTTACATTTTCTCTATCGAGCTGAATGTAGGTTGTTTTTGTTTTTTAAAGAAAAAGTAAACTGAGAAACATAGTCATAGTGTCATAATTGGATTTCAGGAGTTTAGGGCTTTTAGACATAACCTTTAACCTGTGTTGCGGGGGCTCTACGAGGACTGCTTTCCCCGCTGCTGAAGGTGGGAGAGCCCGGGATGCCGGGGGGACTGGACCCAGCATAGAGCAGAGAACCACCAATAAGGAGCAAAGCAGACGCCACCCAGCCGATGTAGAGGGCAGGGCCGAGCTCCCGCTTGTGTGGAGCTGCCACGTGTGGGTCGTAGAAATCCCTGATGATGGAATGGGCAGTCCAGGAGACAGGAACAAGGTAAAGGAATCCTGCGATGGCAAACAAGGCACCAGAAATACGAGCGATGCGGGCTTTGAGACTATTGATACCTATGCATTTGGTGCACTTGACTCCAAGGACCCCCAGAGCCAAGGCTACCCCACAGAGCAGGATAGAGAACACAGTGAGGCCACGGGCAGCCTGCATGTCACTGGGCAGAGCCAGCAAGCTATCATACACCTTACACTGGATCTGACCTGTGCTCTGCACTATGCAGTTCATCCACAAGCCTTCCCAGATGATTTGAGCTGTCACTATGTTGTTGCCGATAAAAGCAGTGACCCTCCACAGCGGGATGGCGCAGACTACTGCACCAGCAACCCAGCCAACAATGGACAGGATCAGGCCCATCAGCTGCATGCCTGTGGTCGCCATGATGAAAACTGTCGTTTGAATCAAAGATTTGTCCAAATTTTAAATCAGTTGATGATCCAGATGGTCAAACCAGCCCCACAAAGAAAGAAAGCAGTTTGTGTTTTCGTGACGTTGATGAAGTCCGCTTGGATTTAAAAAAAGAGAGCAGGTATCCTAAAATCCAGAGAAAAAAGTTAAACCAGTGAATGCTTTAAAAATCATCGATATTATTACAAATCAAATACCATATATTTACAACCATATTTTTAAAGAAAAGCTCATTGAAACGTATGTTTATCGTAAATATTTAGACACAGAGAGCCCCTAGTTGAGTGGATTCCATGGATTGCTCAGAGAATAGCCCTCTTTGACACACAGATGTGGGTGTGAAGCTACGCCTGGCTGGGTAAGTGGATCATCTCAGAAAAACATGAAGGGACTCAACAGAACACAAGCAGCTTTTATGGGACGCTCGTAGAGTGGGCCAACAACAACCAGTTTCATATGTCTACTCTCACATTTGAATCAGCTGAAATAATCAATCATCAGATAGGCTTACAGCTTTATGCAACAAAACTGATTCTATGGCTCTTTTTAAAAAGTAAATGAGGTTAACCAGAACTGATTAATTAAGCTCAGAACAGTAATAGTTCTCCGCAAAATATAGAATTTGAATGGAGCATCCAAGAACTTTTTGATATTTTAGTAGATTTCCTGCTAAGAAATTTAATTTCAAAGGGATAATAAATCAAAAGGACATTTATAGAATCTTGACAATTACTTTTAATTACAACACATTGTGATAGTAACCATAGAAACCCATTTCTATGCAGGAAGGCCTGATTTCTCTTTGCTTTTTTGACCTTTGCTGTATCTTTCACAAAAGAATCAAATTCTGATCAGTTAATCAGTTAAAAAAGACCCTTATACTGAGAAAAGATTTTAACTGCAGTTATGTCTGTTTAGTCTATTATCAACGTTTTAACTAAAAGCTCTGTTGTGCTTTAAAATAGGCAGTTATTTTCTTGGACATGAGAATGGATATTTACCTCCAGTGGTTTTATAACTTTTCCCACTTAAGATGATCCACAGGAAGTTTTTTTGCTGCTCCCCCCGGCAGAAAATCCCTGGAGTTGCCCTGAGAGCAAAGCGCAGGCAGAAGGAAGGCAGCAGAGCTGTGAGGCTCTCTCTCAGAGGATGGGTTGAACTGCAGCACAGAGACGGGACCAGCTCCCAACACCCTGGACAGGACCGGACTGGGCTGGAGACGGGGCTGCCCTCTAGAGATGCCAGCGTGTGTCTGTGTGGCAGTGGGCAGCAGCACGAGCATGTGTGTGTGTGTGTGTGTGTGCGTACGAATGTGTCATTGTGTGTCTCCCAGTGCCTGGTGTATGAGCACAATGCTCCGCTGTTTGGCTGTGCCCCCTCTGTCCCAGCTCTGCAGCCCTACACATCCATCTCCTTATCTCCTCTCAGTCGATGCCCTCCTCTTTATGTTTACATTTTACCTGTTTCATTATCCCTTTCACGCTATAGTGTAAATAATCAGTTAGTAATTGCACAGAATAATATGTGGTTTATTGAAGATGTCTGATATACATTTCATTTAATAAATAATTTGTCAAAATCGGGAAAATACAGAAGATAAAACCAATGACTGAAGCTCAAATGCTGCAGAAACTTGAAGTTATGATCAACGGGGCTGCATTTTTGCCACCATGCAGGCGTCCGGGACTGAAGATTGGATAAAGCCTGTCTGTGAACCTGTCTGTGAAGGTGTAAATGTGCACTCCTGATTCAGCACAGAAGAAGGAAACGAAGCCTTGGGCGTAATCCAAAAACACCGCCACAGTCTTAGGACGCTGCTCCAGAGCCACAAAGGTGACAGGAGAGGTGTTGGCAATATACTGGCCTCCAGCCTTCAGGCTCAAAGTCCAGAAACCATTGGCCGGGCAGACAGTAAACTTTCCTTTTCTGTTTATGGACTGCCTGGCGACACCCAGGTTCCACTCGATCTTGTCGCCGACCTCCACCTCCCAGTAGACCCTCCCACTGCTGAAGCCTTCCTTAGCCAGCACGTTGGCCACACGGTCAAAACGCGTTGGATGATCTGGAACCTCCTGAAGCTTGTTGGTATGCCTCACCTGTTTCCGGTCATCTGAGACGGAAAGAAACGGGTGGGCTGTCTTTCCACTGAGGTTCAGCTCAACTGAGAGGAGGGAGACAATGGTTGACACATTATGGTCAATTCATCTCATATGCTGAGAATTATAAAAACATTTACACCGTCCATATCTTACCTGTATACCTCTCTAGTCTCCTTTGTTCTAAAGACAGAGAAAAATAAATATTATTGCCGCTGAATTTGCTGCAAAGCAATTGAATAAATCCAAAGTTCAAATCCCTCACCAGCTTTGGAGAGCCTGTTGACTTCCAGTTTGATCTTTTCTAAGAGGTCTGACATCGCTCTTCTTGTGACCCCAACACAAGGGTCACTTTCAATGCTAACCCTGGACCAGTCCTTCATCTCACTGAGCTACAAGAAAACAAACAGCATGTAATGAAATTAAAAAACACCACTCTTTCATCATGTTTTCTGTTTCACATGGCGGCACTTACCGAGACAACCTGCTTCATGCCCTCACTTTGATCAAAATCCTGAGGGTCAGCTTGATTCAGGTGGTTCCTCAGCTGCTCGATTTCTTCCTTGATTTCCCTTATCAGCTTCTGCACTCTTTGCTCTTCTTCCTTTTGCTTGCTCTCAATTGCAGAGACGACAGCTTTGTGAGTTGTCTCCATAGCACATACAAGGGCTGAGAAGACTTTTTGACTCTCTCGCACCTCACGCAGGTAAGAACTCTGAAAGAAACAAAACATGGAGGACTCCTGGATATTTATACAAGCACTGAACTAATTTCTTTCAGGTAGACACTTCGACTTACCTTTTGGACCTCCAGGGAAGATTTTAGCCTCTCTATCTTGTGTAGTCTGTCCTGGATCATTTGTTGAACGTCTGTAACCTGCATACACAAAAACACAGACCTTATTATTATTCCTTTAACTCTTTTTACTTTTTTGTCACACTTAAATGTTTCCAATCATCAAAATTAATCTTGATATCAGGCAAGTTAAAACAGAATGCAGCTGTTAATTATTGTTTTACTTTATCAAAAAGGTATCCAAACTGATTTGGCCCTATATGTAAAATTAATACCCCACCTTAAAATATCATGAATTTCACAAGTCAGACCGAGGCCTAATCACTACCACAGCAGTAAAATTAATAAATGGATCATGTAGAACCTGATGGAATAAAATGGGCTAAAAGTTTTCCAAAATAATGAATTAATTCTACTTTAAAGTAATTTCAGAACAAGAATAATAAAGTTACTAACCATTGTATGGGAACTTAACCAATTTCTAAACTGTTGGGATTCAAACTACAGGTAGAGCCATCATTCATAAATAACAACAACAAAAAAATACATGGAACAGTAGTAGACCATCCCAAAGCTGGGAACCAAAATTAGAGTTCATTAACAAATCCTCCAAAAACACTCTAGAACTAAACTTCTGTAAGCCTCACTCGTCTCCTCGAGTCCAAAAATAGCAACCTTTAAGGAAGTCAAAGATAAAACCACTGATGACCAAAGAGAAGACCAAGTTCCATTGCCTAAAAATATATATTGATGATTCCCAAAAAAGCTTACTGAAACTATTTTATGGACTCTGGAGACAAAAGCAAATGTTTAAGGTAATAACCATGTTATCCCTGGCAGAAAACTAACAGGATCTCAGAGAAATAAGCTCAGTCACACCACCACACCTGGTGGTTGTAGTATAATAGTCAAGACCTATTTTACTGCTTCTGAACCTGGATGACCTGACATGATAGAGCTGTAAATTCTACCATAAAATCCTTAGCAGAATACAACCATCAATTTGTAACGTTAAGCTTAAGAACACCAAGATCCTTACAACACAAGCAAATCTTACTCTGAATAGCTCAAAAAATAAAAACTGAATATGTTCAGGCTCTAAAAAAGTCCTACATTAAATCCAACTGAAATGCTATGTCAACACCTTAACAAATAGTTAATGCCCAGAAACCCTCCGTGCTATCGCCGGTAGCGTAAAAGAATCTGATGTTAAGATAAAAAAATAAATTCCTCTTTAAACATATCTAAGAGAAAAAACATATATAGTTTTTTTTCTAAGTAAATAAATCATCATTAAATATGTGGGATATGTGGGAGTGACAGAAAAGCAAATTCATAAGAAACTTGAGGAAAAAAACTTGTCATTTCCTCATGTTTCTGTATACTGAACATTTTAGAAGTAACCAACGTGTGACATAAACAAAAAAGTACCGTCTCTTCGTCCGGTGGTTTCTGAGGCTGCGCTCTTCTGTAATTTTCACAAACATCTGCCAAAATATGGTTGACGCTGAGGTCTGGCTTGTTGGCAAACAATCTTCTACAGTCTGGACAGTATTTGGCCTGGCGTCGAGTCCAGAATTGGCTGAGGCAGGACAGGCAGAAGCTGTGTCCACAGGGTATGGTAACTGGGTTGGTGAAGATGTTTCTGCAAAGAAGGCACAGCAAGTGCTTCTCTGGTACGAGGCAGATGGAAGAGCCCATCATCTGCAGAGAATGTTAAAATATTTACTAAGAAAAGAACCATCTAATAAACCACATCATCTCTTTTTTAAGTGACTTTTCTAAAGCTTTAAAAGATTAAAATGCATGCAGGAATGGGAACAATTTTTGCTGCATTTCAAGAATAGCAGCTAGGCGTCCCGTTTTTAAGCCTGGAGGCATAACAAAGAGCATAATTTGTGCTTTTATATTTTGCATTGAAACATACCTCTCTGACTGTCCTCTCTTCCTGGTTGCTCATTGTCATTGACAATAGTGTTTACGTTCTTTGTGTTCTTGGGCTGATAGGTTAACTGAGAATGGAAGCAGAAAAGTATGTCGTCAAACAGGTAGCTACCAAACTGAGATATTTATCTTTCTACAAAACTGAACATCTAAAATGTTAAAACTGCTTTAATTCTTATTTCAGTCCTTTTGTTATTACACTTTTCACACCAGTGTAATAACAAACAAAGTAATCTCTAGTTATGTAAGAGGTTCATAAAAAGCTCAAAGGACTCACAGAGGATCATAAAGTACATTTTTAGTTAGAGTAAAGTCATTATTAAAATAGCAAACTGAATGTTTTCCTACCTTTCTAGCTCAAATGTTTCCAAAAACAAAACTTTCCCACACAAAAAAGCTTTAACTTATTCAGGTAGTGATAAGAAAAGGCTGCATCTGTTTGTTCTAAGCAGGTTTGCTCAGCTATGGGTGCTACCAAGGAGAGAGGGCAAACATTAGCAAGCTTTAACTCCACCCTTTATGATACTGAGCTGCTCCTTAACTCATTGCACGACAAGGGAGTGAAGGTGGTGCAAAGTACAGAGTGTCAACAAATCAACTACTAACAGACTTTTTTCCATAATAAATTAAATGACTGATTTTAATTGACATTTTTAAATTTAGATACCACCAGTTGGTCTTTAAGATACTTGAAATAAAAAAGACATGTTGATATGTGAAAAGTCTGACAACAAACCTTTTATTGTGGTCAGATAATCTCAGTTTGAAGAAAAAGGAATAATACAAAACATAACACTTCTTTTTCTTATCCCTGAAATGTGAAATAATAGAAATTTATGTTTTTTTTTTATTACAATCAAGGTGTATCATTTTTACACTTCCACTAGAATGTCTAAATCTCTATAAAGAGTATTCAAAAGAGTTGATTATTTTATGCACAAAGTGCTTCCGGGTTGCTTTGGTAGAGAAACAGGCCCACAGCATCACAGAACCTCCACCATGTACTTTACAGTATGCATGAAGTGCCTTTCCCTTTGGGACCTAGAAGGTTTGTTAAATAAAACTAATGTCATTGATTCTCCAGTAGCTAGACTGAATTGACAGACTTATACACTAGAATTTACTTAATTAATTAATTAACTTAAATTTGTTTCCATGATGATTGCTAGTGTCATATGATCACAACACTGGTTCATCGCTTGGGTTTAATAAAACCCTCTGTAGTGGGATGATCTGAATTTAAAGGCCTGTCCAACCTGCTAATCTGTCAACTATTAGGAAAAAATCCCAACTGCATACACAGTGTTGTAAGACAAACATTTAAAAGCTGTTCATTCAGCGGGGGAAAAACACATTAAATTACTTTCATACACTGTAAGGAAGTCTGAAGAAAGACAAATATATAAAGAACGAGAGAGGACTGAGGTTGTTTGCATTTGGTCACAGATGAACACTTTTTCTTTTCTAATTGGAAAAGGAGTAATTATTTCGTCATGTGCGAGGAACGGCAAAGAAGCGGTTAATGAAGATCGAATTAAAGTTAAGTCTGGCAGGTGGGGCAACTCTGTTCTCCATGTGCTTGATTGCCACCTGAGCAGTTCCTCCTGCAGATCCACCAACTGCCCCGCCTATAATGCCATAAAGAACCATTCCTCCAGCTCCCTCAATAGAGCCAAAAAGTGCACCAATCACCGCCCCCACAACTAAGCCAGTCCCCAGTCCTCTGGCCAGGGAGGTCCTGAGCCAACCGTTATCAAGCTCTGCTTTAGCCTGGATCTCTGCACGAACATTAGTGATGTAGGCATCCTTATGAAAGCAGAGCTCCTCAGACATGTACTGCTGCTCCATCTCATTCCAAGTCCGCTCTATCTCTTCTGCCCTCTGTTTCCCGAGCCTCTTCTCCTCTCTTCTCACGCTTTCCTCTGCCCTTTGAAACGTTGTGCTGGAGAAGTGTCCCCCTCCCAACGAAGCCACCATCAGCTCAATCTTCCGTAGCAGCTCCTTATCCTGGCTTCGATCTCTCCAGTTCTTCTTGAACACATGGAAACGGCCACCATACTTCTCAATCAGTTCTCTTAGGTACCATTCGGTCTTTTTCACCCTGTGCTCCAGAGAGGCTCCATCCAGATTACCTTCATAGGCAAAGAGAACCATGCAGTGTTTCAGACAATTTGATCCAAAGCGTTTCTTTAGCAGCCAGGGGGTTTTCATGTCATTTGGGGAGATTTTTTCAATGTCAAAGGCTACAAGAAAAGCATGAGGACCAGGTATGCATAAGCACTTAGACCTCCTAAGCTCCATCTTTCTTTTTGGATGGGTTATATCCTTATCATATATGTTTGGTCCATTGACTACTGTCACTGGTCGACCAGACAGCTCCCCCTTGTTCTTCACGCTTGCAGAAATACAGGTGACATCCTTTGAAAAGGCCTCCCTCCCGAGAATAGAATTAGTTAGCTGGAACTGAGAAGGTCCGCTGCTACCGACCACCATAAGCCTCAGTTCTTTTGCAGATCCTGTCAAGAAATGAGTCTGAGATTTAGTTTACCTTCAGCTAATGCTTTTAATTAAACTAAATTTGATGCTTTTAATTATACGTGTTCTAAGTATTGCCACTGAAAGGAAATATATGTAGCCTTGAAATAAGTTCAATAATGTTTTAATACTAAACCTAGAAATATAATCCAGTTCCATTAATTGAATGTGCATTCTTACCTTTCTTTCTCTTTTCCATTTGACCTGGATCTATTCCCCAAAAGATGTCTAGAGAAACATTTTCAACATGTTCATTGTGCGAACTGAAAATGAATCTGTGTCCTTTACTCTTGTCTGCTTTAGTCTGCCTCTGTTCGGTATCAGATTTGACATTGGCTGGAAAATACCTCCAGGCTCAGAACCAACAGCTGGCTCATCCACATTTATTGACGTGTCTAATAAAAAATCTCTGCGTAATTATGGAATGCATTGCTCTGCTTTGTATTATGTGATGGAAATCACAATTTATGAATATTTCTATAGTTTATGATATGATATGTTTTCTTATTTACCAATAGAAATTTGGAGAAGTAGCATTTAAGTCAAATTATATGTATATGAAATAATCAGATTCCTTCCTCGTTTGTTTTTTGTTTAATAATAACAAAGATGGTCAGATTTTTGATGTGCAGAAAGGGTTATGTCACTGCAATAGATTATGTTACAGAAATGTTACAGTTTTTTTTTAAATTCCTTTTAAACATAACATTTCAGTCATTAGATTACATTCATAGACAATGTTTAAAATACTTATTTCCATGTCTAATGTTATGCCCACACCATTTTTTAATGCAGAACTGACAGAAAGCTGTCGGTAGAAAAGCTTTTTATGGTTGTTACATCATCAAACAGGCGGGTTAAAACAGGCGGCACCGCAGGGAAACGTGTGAGTATAGTTCGATAAATCTTTTTTTTTTTTTTTTTTTTCACATTACAGGGCGGTTATTTGAATAGATTAAAAACCATAGTGTTATGATAAAACAGCGCCCCGGTGTGGTGACATTATAGAATACACCTAGAGGTTTTTTATCACTACCCGATCCGTCCCGGAAGCACGGGTCTCGCTTTTATTTTGTTAAAAATACCTAAATGACGTTTTTTCCTCCTCAAAAATACTATATGTGCACATGTACTTATAGAGATAGAAAGACCTTAATTGCTCAGAAACTTTAACTGTAATAATTTTCATCTTTTTTTCCCCTTAATTATGTATTTGTATTTGTCTTGGCTTCTGTAATTTGTTTTGTTTGTATTTATAAATCAACACCTTTGGGAAAGGAAAATGTAAACAATTTACGAAATTCTGTAAAGAAATGGTTTATGCCTTTACCAAATAAAAATAAATTGAACAAAAAAAATACTAAACGTACTAAAATATAATGTGTTAAATGTTAATAATGTATTTTCTGAGAAAATAAATGTTTTAAAATCCTTTCTGTTTTATCTCTCGTCTCTGCCCGGTCTGTAACGGAAATGGCATCCTACGCTACTTCCGGTGGCTAACTTTTTCGGCTTTGGATTAAACCTTAAATCTAGTCTTTTCGAGTTTTATGTTTTCGTGTAGTTTTAATCTTATGCTATATAGTGCGTAAGCTAAAGGAAGAAACAACTAAAATGCAGATAAACATTGTTTAATCATATTTTGCCGGACTGCTCTGAGCGTGTCTGATGATGACGTCAGAGAAGCAGTTTAAGGGAAAAAATGTGAAAAACATAAAAATTATTTCACAAAAGTCATAAAACATTTTTAAAGATATCTATTAACATTCTTTGGAGAGTTAAGCAGATAAATAAGTAGTTTTAGTACCATAATTACAGTATTTTACAGTATTTATCGACACCCGGATGTACATTTGCTCGCGCATGCGCAAGATGGATCGTGTAGCGACACATTTTTTATGTGGATTATTTGTAGCGGGGTTGTCATAACAACCAGTTTTATAAACGGCATGTTGTTCGATGTTGTGATTAGAAGTTTAATGTGTCAGAATGATGGCGGACATTTTCCGTAAGGCCAGTCGTGGCTTCTCACCGTGTCTGCGTCGCCTTTCTGATTTCAGAGTAACCAAACATGCGCCTGAGAGTCCCTCCACTTCTCCTCTCAGTGAACAGGCGTCTCTATATGTGCATGTAAGACACCCGCTTTTCCTTTTACTCAGCTGTTTTTAATTCTTCTCTTAATGCTTGTATTAAACCTGCCTTCCACCCTCTCCTTCCAGTGGCCTTATTGTCTCAGACGATGCACCTACTGCAATTTTAACAAATACATACCAAAGGGAAACAACGAAGAAATCATGGCAAAGTGTCTGCAGATGGAAACGGAGACTTTGCTGCAGCTCAGTCAAGTGTCCTGGTATGTTTCTTCATTTGAGGGATGCAGGATGCTCTCTTCTATCAAAGCCAGATTCATTGGGTGCGCGTGCAAAGCTTGTCCTCCCAACAGGTTCCTCCACCTGAGCTGTGGAACTCTACAGCTCCTCCAGAGTTTAGGTTTTCAGCTGCTCCTCTTGTTGATACACTCCTTATCCAGCCAATCAGTTTAGGAGTTCAGCCATATTTTAGTAGCTTTGCAGTTATGACGCACTCTACATTTTTACTTAACAGTTGAACAGTGTTCTCTGTTTGGAGCCTGATTTTGTTTTATTTTTTATAACTTAATGTGTTCTACAGTTTACCTAAGTACAAACATAAAGGAAGATGTTGCCTTATAGGACAAAAAATAGCGTAGTTTGTTGGTAAAGAGAACATAAAAAATGTTGACTTGATCTAGTTTTGCTAAAATTTAATTTTCTAGGTAGAGTATACTAAGTAGAAGTCCTGGTTAAGCTACCTAATACTTTTAGCTCTCTGGCTTTCTCAACATGAAATTTATAAATTGCATTAAATATGAAGCATGACTTGAAACATAATCATTATGTACATTTCAAATCTAAAAAAGGGGATATTGGATGAGGCATGTCCACCGTCTCAGAATGTGATCCATCATCTGCAATGTTTTTCGACCCCTCCATGGTTTTCTATAAACAAACTGGATTGTTGGTCTTTCTCTCTTCTCTCCCTAATTTTCTGTCTGTTTTGTCGCAGCTGTTATGTCATATTTTTATCAATACATATAAAAATAACTAGCTAGTTTAGAGAAGATGATAGATGGTAAAGATATTTGGGTTTAAATGGAGTTAATAAAGATAAAAGTCCTAAAAAACAAAACAAAAACTACTCTAGTAAATATATGGATACTGAAAGTGCATTAACTGCTTAGTTAGATGATAATTCTGCTTAACACAAATCAAAAGTTTTCTAAAACTAATCCTTCTTAATTGGGTGGTGGGGGAAAAATTGTTTTGGCGATATATCGTGATATATTTTTGGCTGCCCAATATAATACAGATTCTTCAATCCCCAATCGTTTGGTTTTTTTTTTTTAAAACCAAAAAACATTTTTACCTAAAACAATATTCCCCAAACAGCAGACGTCATTTAGACGTTGGTTTTTAGGCTAAATCTGGTCAGTCCATCATAGTATTGATTTAGTCCAGAAATAGTTGTTTAAATTGGGCTGTGTTTGGTCGGTCGGATTTTGCCTCACTTTAGTCCGATAAAAGACGTTTCAAACCCAGTTTTAATCTTTTCAGCAAGTGGCTTTTCACCTGCCACTTTTTAACTAAATATAGACGCTGTTTGGACGTAAATCATGTCGTCTTTCCCACCAGTTTTTACTCAGTGGATACCTCTGCTCCACCACTCTAGCAGATAGCGCTGTCGAAGCGTTTTGCTCTACGACGCAGGGCCATATCTGTAGTTGAGGCAATCACAGTGGAAAACGTGGACTGACAAACCTCACACGACATGGATACCAAAATAAAGAAATTGCCAATATCTTCTGATGAACATTTACACACTTGCTTATTTTTATCCATATATTTAATTTTGATGGCTGGGAAAATACTGCAATATATAGTGATATTGCAATATCATGATAATATCCTATGGTGTTCCAAGTATCATGACACGGATCGTATCGCTACATCCATGCCATCACTCACCCCTACTATTTAATTAACTTTTTTTCTATTTATGAAGCTGTTTTTTCTTCTTCAAATCAGGCATTTGTCATTGTCCTTCTACTTCACAGTTCTGCACTTTTTTATGTTGGTTTGTCAAAAAAATCAGTGGAATACAAGTGAACAAGAGTTTTAAGGGATTTAAATGCTTTGGCAAAGCTGTATAAGCACATTAACTATTCTTTGTCACTTTCAGCATCACGTCTGTATTTTTTGGGGGAGGGACACCAAGCCTTGCTCACCCTTCAACCATCGCTAAGATCCTTGAAACAGTTTCCAAGAAGGTGACTCTCTTAGATGAAGCTGAAGTCACACTAGAAGTCAATCCTACCCCCGTGGGCAGGGCAAAGTTAAAAGACTTCCACCATGCTGGGGTGAACCGTTTCTCCATTGGCGTCCAGGTAAATATAACTACTGGATTTTAAGTGACAGAAACTCATATTCAGTTATTCTTATTAATCATATTCCTTCAGTCTTTGCAGGACAATGACTTAAAAAGTCTGGGAAGAGATCACAGCTCCCTGGAGGCTTTGCAGACTCTGGAAGAGGCAAAGAAGCTGTGTCCAAGTTCAGTGTCGGTGGATATTATGTTTGGACGTCCCGAGCAGACAGTTGAATCATGGAGCAGCGAGTTGTCTGACATGCTGAGTGTCTGTGACGACCACGTGTCGCTGTACCAGCTGACCCTTGAGAGAGGCACTAAGCTATTTAAACAGGTGCATGGTGGACAGATACACATGCCCACAGAGGACACGACGGCAGAGATGTACCAGGCAGCTAGAGAGACTCTTCAGCAGCATGGCTTTCAGCAGTATGAGGTGTCTAACTTTGCAAGAAATGTAAGTCTTGACACATAAAGGCCCTAAATTAATCAGACCAGAGAATCAAAAGAAGCAA